TCTCCATTCAAAAAAGCGGGAACGAAAGTCGGCAATGTCCGGGTGCCATCTCGAGATCCCGCACGACCAGCCACACGCCTAACCGCAGCCGAACACGCTTCTTGTCTGCGCTCTCGCACTTCTGATGTTCTGTACCTGTGAGTGCATCGCAAGTACTGCAGCTTTAGGATGGCTCCAGGAGAGCCTGGGACGCCCACAGTTCCAGCTCTTCAGCTTCATTTCAGCGCGCTCTCAAGTGACAAAAAAGTTGCACTTGTACAGCTGGCAGGTCTGGTCATGTAGTCTTTGGCCGGCCTTCTGTTACTGTAAGCTGACTAGGGTGGCGGGTGTGGCCAATGGAAATGGGTCGGGCCAATGAGAGGAACAACGGCATCGTCGGCTTCCTGACTCGCTTTGACGCCGTCAAAATTGTGCGTACTGCCTCTGCGGGCTTGTCTGCCTGCCCACGAAGGCAGAGGGAAATGTCAATTGATGCGAGCACTGCATTTTATTGCCAGCCGATCACCACGTACGACTGCGACTCAAACGTCGATTACTTCCCATCCATACAGTTTTCGAAACTTGGGAGGTTTTGTACTCCATTAATTAGTCATCGAGAACATTGCTTTAATGTAACAGATTCGTATTGCATGAAAACCAGCAGTTGTTCTTGTGGTAGAGCATTAGCTTTCCAACTTTTAATAGTTCCAGTTCATCTGAGTGCACACCTTTCAGCGCGATCCTTTTTGCAATTGCTGGAGCTCTAGTTGTCTCCGGAGGTCTAGTCTCCTTTTCGCTATGGATGCTTTCAAGAAGAGCGCGAGGTCGGTGTTCGTTTCTCCTTAATCATTAAAAAGTGTGCAGTGTGAGACTGATTGTGCCAACTCTGCCATTGACCACTTTCTTTTGCTTTACTACTGGCTAACTGCCACACTGCGAGCATCCCGTTGTGAACCCTAGGCTGCGTTTGTACTTAGCTGCAGCGTCCAGTAGCGTTCGAGCGTCAGTGATGGGAAAGTATAGATATCGATCTAGCGCCTGACAGCGTCTGCCAGCGCCCTCTGCGTCTACTAGCGCGCGTCAGCGTCTCACAGCGTCCACCAGGGTCTCGAGGGCGTGGGAAGTGTGATATCAATTCAGCGTTTGCCAGCGTGCACCAGGGTCTGCCGGCTTGCTGAGGAGTGTATGGCGCAATAGGAGGGCAGCGACTTGCTGGCACCCTCCCATCGCGTATTCTCTACCAGCAGTCTGCCACCCTCCTATCTCCCCATACTCTACCAGCTGTCTGCTACCCTCCTATCGCGCCATACTCTCTACCAGCAGTCTGCCACCCACCTATCTCCCCATACTCTATCAGCTGTCTGCTACATTCCTATCGCGCCATACTCTACCAGTAGTCTGCCACCCACCTATCTTCCCATACTGTACCAGCTGTCTGCTACACCTATCGCGCCATACTCTCTACCAGCAGTCTGCCACCCACCTATCTCCCCATACTCTATCAGCTGTCTGCTACCCTCCTATCGCGCCATACTACCCTCTCCCGGATGCTGGTGGACGCTGGTGGACGCTGCCGCAAACCATTAACGCACCCTTATGAAACTGTTCACTGAGAAAACATCCGTGCCGTACTCTTGGCCTGCCGTTTTTCATATACCACCGATCCTCTTCCTGTTTCCCCTCATCAATGACCAACTGTTAATGTGCAGTGATGCTTTACTATCACTCTCCCTTTACTATCACTC